CCCCAAAACCCCAAAACCCCAAAACCCCAAACCCCAAAACCCCAAAACCCCAAAACCCCATAAATATAACAATATATTGAAATCTGGCTCTTTGGTTACGTTTAGTGCAGTAAAGAACTTAGTTTGCTGTCCAAATTTCCTTTTTATATCTTCCATCTTTATGAAGGTCTTGAAGCTGCTCAGAGCTACCTGTAATTTCTTCAAGAATCTTTTCAGCTGCCTTCACCATTGTATTACCATTTCCACAGATGTAGATTAAGGCTTTGTTCACTTGAATCTTGTACTGCAAGTCTGAGGTATTGAGGTTAATTAAGTCTTGAACGTATTTTCTCTCTTCAAATTCATCTAAATCATTAGTTATGCTACTATTACTTGGCCTAGACTCTGCTAGATGGATATTAAATTTGGAATCTGGGTTAGTACTGCTAAAATACTCGAAGAGAGAGGATAATTCGTCTTTGAATAGATAGTCATGAGTTTTATTCCTGATTCCAAAATAAAACTCTATACCTCTAAGTCCTTTAATCTCCTTAGTTTCAAGCATTCTTCTGAGTCTTTTCAGCACACCGATAAATGGCACAACAGCAGTTCCATGAGAGATAAAGATAAGGGGAGGTTGATTGTCGAGCTCCTTCTTAGTAGTATTGAACAAGGAGCTCTTTCCCAACTTAATATCAAATTCTACCTTCTCCTCTTCAGATAGTCTGTACAAGTAATTGGAGCAGACACCTTGCTTGACTATCTTATTACCTTTCTGGAACACATCATTTTGCTCATGCTCTTCAACAGTGAAGCCAATCTCTAACTTATTGGTATCTACTGGGTCGGATGATAAAGAATAGAATCTCGATTTCATTTTCGGAACAGTTTCCAAAATATCCATGCTCACAGCAGAGGAAGGATTAACGAATGCCAAATAGTCCAAATAGTTAAACACTGCTTTCTCTTGTAAATGCTCTGATTCACCTAATATGCTTCCTAAAGCTTTCTTATTCACACTTTTGAGGAAGTCAAACTCAGTAGTGAGCTTCTCTATTAGCTCTGGAGTTTCTTCCCATTTACATGCATTAATGAAGGCTTTAACACTCCCAAGACTATTCTTTGGCATCACAGAAATATAGGATCCTGGTTGAATATCTTCTGAAGCAGAAAGAGTTCTATCTAATTCCAGCTCGAGTCTTAACACTTTCCGATATTCCTCTGACTCAATCACTTTAGAACATATCTTAGCTTTCTCAAATTTGGTAGTATCTTCTTCTGGCATTTCTTTAGATTCTTCATTATGGACCACTTCAGTAGTAGGATCAATGGCTTGGGTTTTAGCTTCCACAACAGTAGTGGCGAGTTCATCCCAGAATCCTTTGATCCAGGGTTCAACTTCATTCTCAAGACCAATAGCTTCATCTGCTTTTCCAAAATAGTGGAAAAATTTTGCTCCAAGAGCTTCAAACGCAGAGTTGACTGTCTTCGGTGTCTTATGGAAGGAGGAATAGTCTATGCCAAGTCATAAATATAACTTGAAAGAAACCTACCTGAGTCTCCAAGTCCAAGAATTGTGTAATGTAAGTGACTAAAGATCCTGCTCTCAGGAGTCTTCTCATTCTTTGCTATCTTGGAATGCTTGCATAGATATCTGTAGAACTTGTTTCCATTATCTGGGCACTCTCCATCACCTGTAGACGAGCATAAGATGACTACAACTCTTTTAGGTTTGGGATTTGTAAGATCAAAGTTTTTCAAATGCTGGTCGAACTCGTATCTCTCCGAAGTATATCCCTTCTCCTTTGCAGTTGTATGCAAGTCCATTGATATCTCCTCACAATTTCCTGTTTGAGATGCGTAAATGAATGTGACGACAGGATCTGACATTATCGATTAAAAATGTTCAATTATTTATGAGCATTTAGGGGTTTTGGGGTTTTGGGGTTTTGGGGTTTTGGGG